GTAATAATTTTGAAGGCGAAAGCAAAATCTGACTTACATTTTGAAAATCAGAAAGTTTGATCAGACAAAAACGAAAAAAAAAATTCAGAGAAAAACGGATGAAAAAACCAATTAATCATTCAAAAACACTCACTATCAAATTATTTCTAAAAATTATTTGTCTTAAATTGACTCTAATTTTAAAAAACAACAATCATGAAAAACAAAATTGAAACGACAACATTTTTATTTATTTAATTAATTATCTTTTTCGTTCTTTTGTTATTAAATTTTATTGAATATTTTCATGATTTCTTTTTAAAAAAACACCAGTAAAAACGATTATTGTAATTATTTTTAGTTCAACTGAAACAGATTGATACAGATGCCATATGACTGCTCGCTTGCTCAGAACGAATACTATTGATCTGAATCTGGAATTGTGCTTGAGGGATGAGAAAAAGTTTCTAGTGTCCATTTGAACTTATTTCTTTGTCAGAGAACATTATAAAATGGTTTTGCTATAGTTGCTTTTTTTAAACATTTTTACTCCAAAATTTTAACATTCCAAGAATTTCTTGGATTTTCTTCTTATTTGATGGAGGCCGAAGTTTCAATTTTACATTTGTTCCTGATGTTAAGTGAATAATTGTATTACTTTCATTTATATGCCCGAGCAATTTAACACGAGTGAGAAAGATAAGTGAATTGTCTATGGCTACTTTCATGTTTTCTTTAAGTAAAATTTGGTGATATTTTTCTAATACTTTAAACAATTTTTGTTTCGTTTGTGAATGTATAAAAACATTGGCTGAGTATTTGATTATGTTTTTACTAAGAATGAGTGGTCATGAAGTTTTTCATGAAGGCTCAAAAAGCTGCGGGTCCTATGGAAATTCCATAGAAGAGCTCTTAAATTCGTATTGTTGGTTTCCAATAACGAATGTGTAAGATGTCGTGATTGCTCGTCTGATGGCATTTGATTATATGCGCTGTTGATGTCAGTTGTGGTATAATACTACCATTCTTTTTAGTGAGTAGTACATGGATTGGTTCTATGGGCAGATAACATTTAGGTTCATCAATTTGGGAAATGAGATATCTTGCGTCTAAATCAACCTTCAGTGATTCGTCTTTAGCGAGAAAGATAACGTGATTTATCAAAGTAATTTCTTTTGGTTATTCTTCTTTGCTTACTGGTGATATGACTTCATATTGCTCCAGAATGTCTAATAAATGTTTTACTTTGTCTTGTAAGTGAATTAGTACTTTTTTTGCTCGTTGCTTTTTGAAAAGTGCGTCAAGTTTAAAAGGGAGCTGTTATAGCCAATCTGTTTTTCAACGTCAATTTTAGATGTAGCATAAGCCTTTGGGTTTTTCATAAATAGTTCTGCAAGTTGCTCAAATTTTTTTTGTTTGATTGGAGAATTTTGGAAGTTAAACATTGTAAATAGTTTTTGTTGGTCACTTGTGTATTTTGAAGATTGAAATTTTGGTTTAAAAAGTGTATTTTTGTGAAATAATCTGTGTTTCGTTTTGAATCGCTAGTTATGTTTTTATTTGATAATTCTTCGTTGAGAGTTGTTGATTGGCAAACATCTAATAATTGTAGAATATTATTTACTCTAAATGCTCTTTTTTATGTCGGATAAAATGTTGCATTTGTATCGCAAAATCCTAAAAGTCCTACGGCTAATGTGATTTTATAAGGTAAATTGTTGTATACATTTAGAGATATTATATCTGAGTTTGTGCCTTTTGCATATTTAATGATGAAAATGTTGCTCTAAAATCTTTATGAACTGGTTTGAATTCAAGGTCAGACATGTATAATTTTTGTTTATTTCGATCGCTATTATATTGACGTTCTTAACCTGTAGAGAAGTTATATAGCTTACCTGATAATGGTTTCAAGTGTTTGCGTTGTATTATTTATTCTTGTTTATTTGACCTTCTTTTGTAATTTACTATTCAAGATGTTAGTAGTCAGCTTATTTTTCGAAATAAAGGGTAACCTAATGTTATTGTGTTTTATATATGTTATGTGGAATTTCTGTTTAAAGGGTTTATTTAAAAGCTTATTTTGTAGTTATCCGAACTTGGGGCATAGATTGTCGAGGTTAATGAGATGGAGAGAGCGTATATCGATTCGTTAGAATGATGTTTACTTTCTCTAAGCTAAGTTTTATTGTATGAAAAACCTACTTAGGTTTACTTAGGAGTTTAGTTTGTGATCAAGGGTTGGAAAACAGTAAGTCAATCAATAAGTTTCTAGTATAATTAGAATACAAGTAGATCATTAAGTACTATTTCGGAGCTTACTAATAATTTAATGCTTTTAGCCTGGGTCAACTAAGAGAAAGAGCTCAAGTGAAGGATCAGTAACCACGCTGAAGCAATTATAGTGGTTAGTTTTTCTAACAATTTCTATCGGTCCTGGGTTTTTGATAAGTATTGAAGAGTGAGTTGACTTTTGAGGTCGTTCAACACTTCAAAAAATGAGGTGGGGAGAACAAATTTGTTCTGATTGATCCAAAGGAAGCCTTGATGATCAAAATAGATTAAGTTAAATATAACTTTAAATCAAGGTTTAGTTTGAAGATCCAAGGAATACCTTGATGATCTGTTTTTTCAGCAAATTTATATTATCAAAAGCTAAGGATAGGCCTTGATAAATAGAAGATTCAAGTTTAAGATAAGTTATGGATTTAAAAATACTTTCAGGGTTGTAATTTTAAATGATGTTAATTTTTGAATAATTTTGGTTATGTTTTAGGTGGTGAAGCGAAAAAAAAGACGGTCTCGTGAGAAGCAAGACATTTTTAATGAATTTGATAAAACTATCTTTAAACTTTTCTACTAACTAACTTCTGTACATTTTATTCAAAATTTTTCAATTTTCCAAAAGTTTTCAAATTAATTTACTGCAGTTTCTGATGATAGGAACGACTTGGGTATCTTTTTATGAGTCATTATTTTTGTTATATAAAAGATCTATAAAGCACCAAACAGATATTTGAAGAAGATGAATCATTTGTTCAAGTAAAATTGTTTTAATATTAAGGAATGAAAATCTAAATTTACTACATAGAAGATTCTGAAGACAACAACTTTTTGCGGTTTGCTTCGTACTGTCATGTAGTATCTTGGTCCGCTTTTCAATCAATGTTCATGCCGTGAATTCGTTCTTCATCCAATACCTGGTACTTTCCGAATTGTTTGAAATATTGGCATTGATTTATTGAGACGTAGAGACATTTCTATTAAAGTGTCTATTCCATCTAACATTTTGCTGTTTTGAATTTTTGTCTTTTTTCTAATTCTAATTTTTCTGATTTTGAGTTAGTTAAGACTTTTTGAGACTTTTAGTGGCACCAGATGGGCTAAATGCCAGTGGTAGCATTCTCATAGAACAAATTCAGATAAGGAACACGGTCTGTTCTTCACGCTATCTGATCTTCGTTCTGATATATTCGTGCAACTTCTTAGTCTAATACCAATCTTAATCTCACTTTTTTTCGTTTGTGCAAAAATTTACTCTTGATCAAAAATCAGGCGATGATCCAGACCTTTGCAGCAAATCATTAGACAAAAACTTTTGAAACAGTTAAAAACGAGAAAAAATAATTCCTAAAAAAAATTCTTGATTATTTTTGTCAGATTAAAAAATAGTTTTTTTTTAAAATTCAATTCAAACATAAAACTTGGAAAGAAGAGACGAAAAAATTTGTTTCGTTGTAATAATTTTGAAGGCGAAAGCAAAATCTGACTTACATTTTGAAAATCAGAAAGTTTGATCAGACAAAAACGAAAAAAAAAATTCAGAGAAAAACGGATGAAAAAACCAATTAATCATTCAAAAACACTCACTATCAAATTATTTCTAAAAATTATTTGTCTTAAATTGACTCTAATTTTAAAAAACAACAATCATGAAAAACAAAATTGAAACGACAACATTTTTATTTATTTAATTAATTATCTTTTTCGTTCTTTTGTTATTAAATTTTATTGAATATTTTCATGATTTCTTTTTAAAAAAACACCAGTAAAAACGATTATTGTAATTATTTTTAGTTCAACTGAAACAGATTGATACAGATGCCATATGACTGCTCGCTTGCTCAGAACGAATACTAAAACCTAGTGGTCCGATTCTAGATAACAAGATCCAAAAATAACTAGGTTATGTTTTTGGAAATAGGTTTGTTTCTAAGGCAGCCAAAGCTTGGCGTGGATAACTAAAAACCAAACATTCTAACTCGCAACGGCAAATCATTGGCTTACGCTGGTAAAGTATTACAGACAATTTTTTCTATGATTTTTTTGAATTGCCGAGTCTTAAAGCAAGGAGCGCCGATCATTGTGGGTCAAGAAATTTGAGCATTTCGATTAAAAAGCGGACACTTTCACAGATCCCATAAAATCCATAATTTCATCTTCCTATTTCGCAACGGAAGTGGTCAAAAATAACTTCTCGTGGCTACCAAGTTTTTGATATGAGTAAACTTTCACGGTTATTTAGTGATATTCTTCATCTGATATTGACTCGTTAATTCCTTTGTTAATTATATTTGCATGTCTTGTTAATTTAATTTTATAGAGGAAGATTTTGAAGCTAAAAATGTGGAAAAAGCATGTTTTGAAAAGTTTTATGTTTTACTGTCGACACTTCTGCTGAGTTTTGTGAACAACTAAACTGTTTCACAAGAACACGTGATCGAAATAATTCTACAAACATTTTCCTGATCTTTTCATGCCTGGAAGCATGGTGCTATTGACTGAAGAGAGGCAATGCTAACCAGAAACACCAACGATTTTGCTGAAACTTGGTCAGAAACACGAAAAGTTAGAGCGGCAATTTTGCGGTGGTCTTACGAGAGATAACAAAATAATAAAGTTCAAAACAACAACTGAAAGCGACGAGGGAATCACTCCAAATTGAATCTGGGTTCCGTTTAGCTGGCGGCGGCCGCGGCAGAGTTCTCTGGGCTTTTCAAGGAAAAGTGACGGTCATATCACCGTGCGTGGGACCAGATTTGGATTGTCAAAATCTGCCGGCACTTCAAAAGGATTTAAAACTTCTCGCGGAGTTGGAAAAGTCCCGTTACTTATTAAACATAGGGAATCATATGGAGTAAGTTAGTGCTATTCCATTAACAGTGAAGTACGGAAAACCCCCACGAGCACCGCTATAGCCACTTTTGGTAAAATCAGAGCTAGTTACCAGTTTATGACATTCGACTAAAGTTTCGGTTTACAGCTATAACCAAACTTGCATTTTTGCTTTTACTTTGTAAATCATTTTTGTTCAACTTTCGAAATTCAAACACAAAAACATGGACTGGGCAATTGTGCAAAACTCAAACTGCTCTGCTCAAAATCTTCAGCAAACTAACGATATCAACATATATAATAATAATATTACTCATGTGTTTTACAACCATCATCATTATCCCAATTACCCGCCACAAAATCAGTACCCACATTTTAGCCCCAATCCAAACAACCCCGAAAACAACTTCGCTTTTTATTCGCCATCTTGTAATCAGTTTGAACCAAACCAACAGACGTGTGTCGAATTTCGGGACCCGACACCGCATCGATGTCTGAAGACCGAAACGAACTTTGCTGCACCAACGACTGAGTTTTGCTGTCGGAGTGAAACTTCAGTGTCGAAAATGACAGCAGAAAGCGATGCATTCCAACAGAATCTGGAAGAACCAAACAAGAATTCAGGTTTTTTGGTGAGTTAACACCAAAACACCTATGAAAATATAAAAACAGGTGTTATCGGCTCTTGGAAATTATTAAGATAAAAAATGGACCCAACTTTTTCAATAAGTTCTGTAAGAATGGTATTAAAAAACACTGGTGATGTTTTTATTACACATGATGATGTTTATAGGTCTTTAAAAGCAATCATAAAATTAAAAATTCAGTTATATTTTCAAATATTCTTTGAGTTTCAGGCTCTTGACATTGACGACATTGATGAAATTTTGAATGAATTGGACCCAAACATTTTCTCATCATCAAGTCCTCAACAGAAGAAGAACCACACGCAAACTTGCAGTTTCAGATCGACCGGTATTGAAAACAATAACTGTCAATCATCCGATTTATCTTCAAAACTTGACGATATCCCAAGTTTAAACATCATTACAACTAACCCTGACAAGGTTCAACATGGAACCGCTATGACAACAACTAACAATATAATTCAGAACACAAACACAACTTGGCAGAAATACGACGAAGAATTCAACGAAAATATGGAGCAAAACGAGACAAAAGTCTCTCCAATTTCACAGTTGATTTCTTTTTCCCAGATGAGCCGAAAGTGGTTTGAAAGTATGAACCCGAAAACTCCGAATTCAGAAGACGGTCAACAAAACTCTAAAATGACACCGTCACAATACGATGACTTTAGTTCGACACCTTATGTACCTGTTCCGACAATGTTGAACTATGACAATAATCGAGATTTCAACGACTGTATTGGTAATCAGTACAGCAGTGATCATCAAATTTCAAATTGTCATCAGTTCAATTCAGTGAGTAGCGACCAGAAGATAGACGAAACATCACCACTGATGTTGAATTACATTAACTACACTAACAACACAGACGCGGCAACGTGCCAAAATTTTTCACCGGCTATTTATAATTTACCAAATTGGAATTCGCCCTCGGGTTACGATTCCGGATTCGACAGCAGCGCAAATTCTTTCCACGGAAACTCGCCCAAAAGCCTCTCAATGTCGCCGAGCAGTGCCCAATCCGGACCCTCTAGTCCATCGGAGAATGACATAATGATGACGTCATATCCGAGAACTTGTGTAAGTGGAGGCTGTTCGGGAGAAGTGGCGGGGAAAAACTCGGAGGGCATTTTGACCAGTTTGGGCACAAAGGAACTGGAAATGAGGATGTTGCAGGACTACTTGATAAACAACCACAGTGCATTCAAAAGGGGACCCAGGAAAAACGATCCGGCTATGGAAAAAAGAAGGACTCACAAGTGCAACTATGAAGGTTAGTTATTACAAAGGCTGCATCCAAAAGTATTCGAAATTTAAAAAAAATCGCGAAACCTATTGGGTCTCGCTAAGTTTGCCCCTATGTTACCTACTATCGAGTTTCCACCCCTCAAAGGAATTAATTCAACCGTTAAGCGCAAACGATTTTTGAAACGTGTGACTAATTATTTCTTGTAATAGTAGGATACTTATCACTAGACCCAAGTTTCTTTTTAACAAAATAGTAATACTTATTTCCGAACTTCATTATTTAATTCGACGATCGACCCTTTAAAATCTTTCTAAAAACGGCTATGAAAAATTTGATCAAATATCCAAATTGATGAACGTTTCTATTCCAGGGTGCACCAAAGTCTACACGAAAAGCTCCCATCTAAAAGCCCACATTCGACTGCACACAGGTAAATAATTATTTTTTCTTTCTGATTTTTTTACAACTAATTTTCTGTTTTTTTTTCAAGTGAGGTGCGTCAACCTTGGCTGCCCAAAACAATAAATAGTTATAAGCATAGCCAACTCACATTGGAAAAGGGTAACAAACGCAAGGAATCAGGAAAAAAATTGACTTGTTTTTTAAAAAAAACTTCAACATGCAAATATTTTAGAAAAAATAGATGCCTTTAAAGCTCTTTGAAATTAGAAAACAATTCAAGTTTGATGTATTTTTGATAAAATTAAGCCAATTTGAGAAAACTGGATCATTAGGTAAACATTTTAGTAAACTGATAATCGAGTTCCATTTTCTAAATTAGAATTCGATCACGTTTTTCGTGATCTGCACATTTTCGCTGTTCGATAAAGGAATTTACCTTCCATTTAGCAAAAGTAATCAAAAGTCGATCCGCAAAAAATCAAAACTGAGCGTCAACAATTTTTAGGAATTTTTCCTCGAAAAAACCCTAAAAATCAGTAAAACCTTTATAAGAGTGCTCACTACTTTCAATAATCATAAAATTGAAGCTAAACTACTAAAACCTTTCCAATTAAAATTATTTTATTTTATCATAACTTTGACACACAAACATCATATAATCTTCACTCGTCGCTCCAGTTTAGTCTAAGGAATCCAACATTTTAAACCTGTAATGATTGACATGGGAAAAAACCTGTGAAAATCTTACTTGCAGATTGATACAGAGCAGGTCAAAAAAATTTTAAAAATTGTACTTTAAATTTTTTAAAGCACAAAATATCAATTTTAGCAAGAAAAAGTCAAAAGAGGCCGAGCTTTTTGTAAACACGCGCGCCGTTGATTGCTTCTAGGACCCTGAAATCCAGGGAATAGTTTTCAAACATATTCTAAGTTAAATGCGGAATCCGCTCAATAAACTAAAGCTTAACTCACAAATAAAAGCTTCTTGCATAATTTTGTCGGCAGATTTGTTGTGTCGTGGAATTCCCAAAAAGCGGGAAGATCAAGGAAATGAGTGAAAAGATCTAAGAAATCAGCTTAACATTTAGGGTTGTAGTTTGACTGAGACAGTTTTCTGTGGATTGGATTACAAATGAAAGATCAAAGAAAAATAGATATTGCGGATTCCACGACAAAGCCTTTTTAAAGTTGCCGCGGAATCTGCGGAATGAAAGACCTTTACTTTTTAAATGCTCAAAATAAGTTTGGATTTAGTTTTTTGGCTAAATTCAGTTCAAAATCATGCTAATTGGAAGAAAATTTAAGTTTTTCTCTAGAAAAACAAATGGCTCAAAAAACGGAGCTGTTAATTAAATTCCAACAAATTTTAATTTCTCCGTTTGTTGATTTTTTTTAAACTTCATAAAGGCTTATTGGTTCTGAAACAGCTTATTAGCGATTGATTTTTGAAAAAAAATCGAAAGTTGAATAACTGCCAAAATCACCAATTGCTTTTCTTTCTCAATTTTTTTATCACTTTCTAACTATCTGTTGGCTTTGTTCCTTAGGTAGCGTTGCTGAAACATCACCGTAGCTAAGCACAATCACTCTTGGCTATAAATAAGCAAAAAAAACTCTGAGCCGCAATCATCGACACATACAAAACGTACAACTTTTTATTGTTTCTCCATTCTTGTTTTCTAGAAATTAAATTTTTGTAAGATTTCTTGCAAAGCAAACCAATTTTATGAATTTTTGTTACTACCGATCGATTATTGAGATATCTCTCAAAATAATAACTCTCTGAAACAATAAGTTTTAAATCGGAACAGACAAAATTGCATACAAACTCAAGCCAAAATTATACAAGACTGCTCGTATCAGGGCGAAGCCCTGAAAAATCCGACTGCCTTTTAAGGTCTATGGAGCATTAATAAGATAAAAAATTTCAATGAAAAAAAAAATTTTGAAAAAAATTGAGATTTTATGTAAAAACATCCCCCCACACGTCAAATTAAGTACAAAGTGATAGATTTTGCGCCTATTAACAAATCAATTATGGCATATAAGCTTCCTTGAACCAATTTGGAACGATTTCTAAGACGGATTAAATCTCCATTACGAGTTAATAGCGCGAAATTTATCGCGCGTTAATTGTCCCAAATTGGCCAAAATGGTAATCTTTAAACCCCATAATTTTACGAAAAATGATTACAGGTAAATTATCTTTTCAAATTCAAGCTCAAGGCAACAATAGCTTTCGAATGATATAAAAAAATTTCGTCAAAAACTGCTAGTTAAAAAGTCGAAATTTGTCTGAAGAAAAAAAACCCAACCCGAGCACAAATATTCCGTTACTTTCGTATCGATAGTCGGAACAACAAGTTTAAGAACGCAACGACAATTTTACTCAAAATTGTGCAATGAAATGGGCAGCGGAGGATGATAAAAAAAACTGACTCTTATTTTAACACGAGTATTGTTTGCGTAATTGCTGCCAAAAAGGTTCGTGATAAAGTTTTTACAGAAATTATTGATTTTTTTTATAAGGTTGACAAGTCTTAGATTGTTTTTCAACAAAATATGAACAAACATTTACTTTTTTTAGGGAAAATTTTTGATATTTTCATTAAAACCAGTCAGAAATGAAACTAATAGTTGTTTTTGATTTTGAAATATTTGATAACAGGATATTTTGTCACCGTCAAATCAACCGACGTACAAATTACCAGACAGCGCAAATAGAAATACAGCGGTTTGATCAGGGACGGATCTAGGTTTTTCTCGAGGGGGGGATTTTCAAAAAAATTCGAAAATTTTGTCAACCTTTTTTTTAGGTCGACCGAATTGATTATTCGAGCTCTCACTACGGACGGTTTAGTCCCTGTTTTGGCCAAATTTTCTGCGGCGCAGGCAAAATTTTTAATAAACAGTCCAAAAATGGAGTTTTTAGGGACTTTTTGGAAAATTTTGACCAAAAAATTGCGTTTTTTCGGCGCGCGCTCCCCCCTCAAAATTAGTATATATTCCAAGGCGCCTTTAGAAAAATTTTAGGGTCGGTCGGCCAAAAATGGATTTCTTAAAAAGTACCAAAGGGTCGGGGGGGGGGGGGGTCGAATCCCTGAGGGGAGAGGGGCAACCGTCCCCTAAATCCGCCCCTGGTTTTGATAGAGATCCGTTTTCTAAATTAAGATGGAAGCGGTCAGAAAGTTTAGTGGTACTTTCATAACAGACCATATCCTTGTTTACATTATGAAATGATGCTAACCGAAGCAAAAAAAAAATAGTTTTCTTAAAACCCAGCCCCTATCCGAAAACAAAAGACATCAACAAGAATTGAAAACTTGCCTAAGTTTACTATGAACTCATTAATTCTCGTTTTTCTGTTCTTGGAGCAGCAATGATAAAAATGAATGATGATTTAATTTTGAGCAGGAGAGAAGCCCTACTTGTGCACTTGGGAATCTTGTGGGTGGAGGTTTGCCCGCTCCGATGAGTTGACTCGCCATATGCGCAAACACACAGGGGCGAGACCTTTCCACTGTCAGATCTGCGACAGGAGATTCTCCCGCTCGGACCATCTAACTCTCCACTTCAAACGACACTTGCCCCTGCAGGCCATGATGAAGAAAATGTGAACTAAATTTGATTGAGTGATGATTGAGCTGGATAATATAGATCTCTTCTGCGATCTCTTATCCCCTCCCTTCGCCTCCCCTCGCATTTCAAAGTAGGGGGATTTGTGTAATGCTATTTGCCATCTATCCCAATCCTTTAGTATGCAAAAGGGGAATAGTTGCTTAATACTCATCAAAAGTTTCGAATTTTGCTCAATAATTATTTGTTTTTTCAGATTGACGGGTCTTTAATTGTTTTTCAACAAAATATGAACAAACATTTTTTTTTCAGGGAAAGTTTTAATACTCATTAAAAGTTTCGAATTTTGCTGAATCAGCTTTTGAAGAGTATGGATTTTTTGTACAAAAAACAGCAGAGGAGGGTAGGCGAAGAGACGCCCGATTGAAAAATGGAAAACAAAATCACATTTGACGATTTTCACTGTCGAAATGATCATCATGTTATCATGAAACTCATTTAGCAAGAAACCATCATGTGCACATATTCAAAAGTTTTCAATCACTATCGGTGCGTTTTGACACTGAACTGCGGTTTGTTTGATGGTCTATTTTGATTGAAAACCTGACTTGAACTTACACGATATATCCTTGGTGAAAAGTAACCGATGCGCTGTATTTTAGCTTCCACCCGTAATTTTCTTATTCTTCCAAATTTAGAAAAACTCCTAAAACAATGAAAACAAGATACACTAAAAAAATTCTCGGGTGGTTTTTTTTGCGAGTGAAGTTAAAAAAAATGTTATGATTCAATTATAGAATGATGCGGTGTATGATGTAATAATGTACCAGTTTGCAAATTATCCAAACATGGCCCTGTACTCCGAATAATCTGTGTAAACGCCAGTTATTTGATTATAACTGTAGACAAATGACATAATTTGTAAATTAATATACCGCAATTGTATTGTAAACTACTACGCTTTAGCATAACACTATCTATATGAATTGACATATATTGACCGTGAGACAATTCAAGGCATCGATACCCACCCATATTTTTGACCATCTGATAGCTTAAAGTTTCTATGTTTACCAGGAGCAGATTTTTATTTATGTTTGGCAAACTTTTTTTATAGATTAACTACCCGGGTTGACCAAAACTTCTTATTTTACAATTTCCATATATGAGAAACTTCTTGTCATACAATTTCATACAATTCCATACGTACAGAAAATTGTATGAAAACTCTATGATATGCATTTTTCCATATATGAAAGTTGTATGATAGGTGTTTTCCCATAAACCAAAAATTTTGATTTTTTCTTTCTTAAATTAGTTTCTGAAAAATTTTCGGTTGTGTTTGCAACCGAACACAAGTGACAAAGACCTTGGTTACTCAAAATACCGAAGGTCGGACGGTCTTGCATTTACAATGCATAGAAAACGACCTGAAATTGGCGGTCTTTCACAATTCACATAACAAAAGTAACAAACTTTTATTTTTTGGCAAAATTTTTTAATGATGATTATTTCAAATTTTTGAAGTTTCAATTTATCAAACATTGATCAAGTCATACATTAACACTCCATGAAAAAAAGAAGTAGGAATTTTCAGCGTTTTTGAAAAAAAAAATTGCGTGAAAAGAAAATAAAAGCCAATTTTATCGTATCCAGGACTACGTTATGCACACAAAACATTAAATTTTGCATGCAAAAAAAAATTTGCGAAAAATGTTTGTTTGCGTACGAAATTCGATTTGCGGTTGAAAAAAAACAAAAAAATTTTTGGGCCAAATTTTCAAAATTACATGGGAATTGCATGATAAACACTTTTTTCAAAAAACGAAAACCTCAGTTTTTTTATCACTAGGCTGTTTTAATAGAATCAAACAGCCACAGAAATAAGTTTATACCAGTTTTCAACCATTTTTAGAAAGTGTATGAAAATTGTATGACAAGCATTTTTCCGCACACTTGATGTATGGAATTGTTTGATAAGCATTTTCGGTGTATGGAGGTCAACCCGGGTAACTATAATTTTCTTTCCTTTGCTGTCCGAATCGATCACGTTCCAAATACGATCACGTTTCAAAACTTTATTCGACAGTAAGGTTTCGATGCAAAAGTTTAATTAACAAAATTAGCGGTCACAATCCCGTTCCCAGTAATATTTCTAAAACAGATCTGAAATAATCTTTTTCAGATCTAATTTCAGATCTGAAATAGGTTGTGAAATGTTTAAATAACGCTTGGATACTTTAAAGATTGGTTATTTCAGATCAAATTTCAGGTCTGAAGTTTTCTTTTTCTTGGTTATTTCAGATCTGAAAAAATCTATTTCAGATCTAATTTCAGATCTGAAATTTAGTTTTTCTAGGTAATTTCAGATCTGAAAAATCAATGATTCGGACTCAATTTTTGCTATTTTTGATTCATTTTTAGCTTCTGCTAGCTACTAGCAAGTACTCAGCAAAATTTCAAGTTGGAGACTGCGGAAGTATGTTACAGGTGTTCTTACAGTTTTGAAAACTTTTTAACACAGTTGAACAAGAAATTTAGTTCGAAAACAAATGTTTGTGAAAATATTCAGAAATTTTCTGACCGCTAGCTAACCTAAACCTAATTATGTATTGTAGAAACATCAAAAAATAAAAACTCCATGTTTAGCTCGAAGTGCATAAATTATAAAATAACAAAAGATTTCACAGATCTGATTTCAGATCTGAAATTTTGTTTTTCAAGGTTATAGGTTATTTCAGATCTGAAATTTTCCATTTCAGATACAAATTTCAGATTTGAAATTTGTAAATTCTTATCAAGATCTGAAATTAAGAATTTCAAATCTGAGAATCAACTTATGTAAAAAATAAAGAATTTCAGATCTTGCACAGAAAATCCCCTGGGTACGGAATATCATCGACGGTAGCAACATCAATCAAATGAAAACATCAATCCCAAACTTTTCATGGGAAGGTTCATCAAAAAACTTTAACTCCATTTTTTCCACTGAAACAGAAAAAAAAATCTTTGAGGCGGCGATATCTTTGAACACCGCTTGGGTAACCCGGAATGCCAATCGGGATAGAGTGTCTTATCATTTTTAGTTGACTTGTCATCCAAGTGTTGGCCACTTGAACATGAAATAATCTTAATAAATAAACGAGTTTTCACTCTGTACATGGCGACGAGTCCATTCGGGTCGAACACGGACGACAACCAACTTAATACGGAGCGTTGCATGACGAGTTACTTAAGCTCACAATTGATACCACGACTTTAATGAGTCTTTGTGTGGTCCCATTTCAAGCATAAAATTTGGGATGACGTTTCAGGATCAACTGATTTTTTTCCTTTCTCCGGAGCTGTCTCTGCTACCGGGTTCAGTGGTTCAGCTAGCTCAGTAACTTCAATACAAATGAAGTAAGTTTGAACCACTTAGTTTTTGTATAACAACTATATCTTGAATGAGCACAAATGCTTTCTCAGGGCTCTCGACGGAACCAAGATAGTCAACCATGTAAATTTTTTGCATTACTGCATATTTTGCTTCCAAATACATAGCCTGGCTGTTTTTTGTTGTTTTTTGATGTTTGCTTTAGAGCAAAACTAGCGCATGTAGTGTTAATCATGAGAGCCGAAGATGTACGCGTGTATTGAAATGCTTCCACATCTAGTGTAGACTTTTCTCGCCACAAGAAACGGAGAGACGATTGATCACATGTCAGTACACCAACCTGAAGGAATATGTTGGCGGGTACGGAAAATTGTGTTGCCGAGACGCTTTAAAACATGCAAGAAATTCTCATATAATTCGGGACTAATCTTAACCTAGAATCACAAGACTGAACAGAGTGTAATTATGTGTAGTACTGGAACCCATATTATTTGTGTCCTAAGCATACGCCCAAACAGCGGTACCATTACCGGCTTTTACTGTGACTTTAACTTGCTTTTGGATGTAACACCTGACAAGTTAAACATTTTACGGTTAAATCTAATAGTGCTCCGGAGGAACCATTTGCTTCTTAAGCTGACTCACGGGGTTGTGTACAAAAGAAAACACATGAAAGGAAAACGTTGACGTTTCTGTTTTTGGAAGTGAATTTCAACTCAATAATCTGTAGTAGGCACTTATAACTGCTGGAGGAAGAATAACCCATGTTGGTGGCAGAGATTATTGACAAACATTAGTGGCTGCTGATACAGACGATATTTTAGATGTTTTTAAGATTTTTTCTCAGATACTTCACTCTGTATATTTTGCGTATTAGACTATTTCGAAAGGTAAATACTACTGTTTTTCCAAAGAAAAACAGGTTACCCTTAACAGGGGATGCAACGTGGAAATTGTATTGTGCTCACTGTTTCTGCCTCCGCTGCAAAACTTTTGGCAAATGACTTGGATTTAAATTCTTCTGAACTATTTTGCTAGTGATAGCGAACTTTCGAAGCTTGTTATGGTATTATTCATTAAAATTTGAAAAAAGGCATGCCCATTAGTCACTCTGAACCAACACAGCAGATCGGTAGCAAATGAACTGAAAAAAAATGTAAACCATGCAAAAAAATTTTTAAGGTTCTAATGGTAGTGTTTTGAGACTCTGATGGCAGCCTGTAATACTTCTGACTCAGTCTCGATAAATAAAAAAAAACTTTGTCAAGAACATGTCAAGTTACAAGTTGCCAAATTTCATACCCAAACTTTTATACTCAGTTTCATGCTCGTCATTAACTTAGGAAGCTAAAACTTCAATAATCTCATAAAAAGTTTAAAAGAGATAACACCGTTTTTTCAAGCTTAATTATATTACGCGCACTGGAGTTCCATGGATAAAAATCAGATAAAATTGAATTTTATTGTCAGAGTCTACAAAAGTGAGAATTAATTGATTATAATTAGATAAAATCATGGCGTTGCGGCGCTTTGGTAGTGATGGTGCGCAGCAATCATTTGATTGCAATTTCAAATTGCACGTGCCTTTGAACTGCCTTGATCGCGTTCACGTTATAGGTAAGGGTACGATTCAAAGTGAAGGCGCTCCTGAATTGCCCAAAACACACATGCCATTATAATGGTAGTGAGCTACGATTCAGTTCCTGATAAATGGCGAGCCAGTATAGATCGCTGCGGCGCAAAAAAACGGGGTGGGGGCGTACGACACAAGGACGGGCGGTGGTCGGGCCCACAACGACGGTTCTTTAACATATTGGGTACAAAGTTTTGGTTTTGACTAACT